AAAAATGACGGTCACCGGATCCAGACCTGCCCTTCATTTGTTTTACTTGATGCTTCGGTTTTTTCTTATAATAATTAAAAATGACGGTCACCGGATCCAGACCTGCCCTTCATTTGTTTTACTTGATGCTTCGGTTTTTTCTTATAATAATTAAAAATGACGGTCACCGGATCCAGACCTGCCCTTCATTTGTTTTACTTTTAATTCGTATGCGTTTTTTTATTTTGTTGTGCTTTAACCTTAATGTTGTCGTCAATTTTAACATAACTTTGGTATTTTTATTTGGCATTAATAATCACTTACTATGTATAATTCTCTGACATTTACACTAATGCTAGTTTTTAATTTACATATATTAATACTTACTGACACGAAAAAACTTCATACCATTACTCCTAGTTGGGACTAATGACGGTTACTGGTTAAAATATTCAAAATGTTTTCCAAGTATAATTAGACAGTTTTAAACCTAATAGATTATGTAGCCATTTTCCAGTATGATACGATATTCTAATATAAATGGCTTTACTGATCTTTACGAACTTAATATACGATCTTAATACGATCTTCGTTTTTTAATTCAGAGTAAGAAGTAAACCAGTCCTATCAGCTTACGTAATCAAAGTAATTTTTTTAAGTTCGACAGTTGTTTGAATTTCGAAGATGGATGATAAGTAATTAAGAACCTTTTTTAAACTTGATTTGATGAGAGATATCCCAGAAACTTGCATTAATAGTATCAGAATGTGATGTTATGAAACAAACCACAAAAATGGATGAGGTTATAGATTAGAAAACCTCAAATATTAATGAAACTTATAAGCATCATTTCAGCACTTTGAGATACGATGCATTTTGATATCTGCAATCTATAAAGCAGTATTTAAAACACTGTTTTATACTATCATTATATCAGTTACTTAAAATTACGTTTTATTTTGTTATTACAGCAGTATCTATAGGAAAGGTACTCGGTTAAATAAAACATAAAAGTAATATTTCCGAGTTTCAACTTAAGTCTTGTACTTGTAGATAACATAAAAAAGGGAGAAAATAATGAAAAAGAAATCCAAAATACACTTACATAAGTAGTTTTCAATTTATGACATAGAATGTTTAACTTGATGAAGCGTCTTCGGTTAGTCTGTGATATATGTGGTGCTACATTGCAGTAAGACTGATGGTAATTGTACTCACCTCCATCTTTACTAGTTGAACTTACGGTGTACAACGCATAACTTGATGAAACATCATCAGTTAGTTTGTAATAGATGTGGTGCTACATTGCAGTAAGACTGATAGTAATTGTACTCACCTCCATCTTTACTAGTTGAACTTACGGTGTACAACGCATAACTTGATGATGCATCATCAGTTACTTTGTAATAGATGTGGTGCTACATTGCAGTAAGACTGATAGTAATTGTAATCACCTCCATCTTTACTACTACTACTATTAGTTCAACTTATGGTGTACAATAGTTAAATAGAAAGAGTGAAAGTGAAGCATTATTATTAGTTTTTAATAGATGCGATATTACCTTATTTACTATCTCATTATTGATTTTCAATAAGAGGAGTGTGTTTAATAGGATTTCAACCACCCTTTATCTGCTCTTCTCCGTTACGAACAAAGCCTTTCGCTCATTACCAGAGCTCAGACTTTTAATTAACCTCAGACAGAAATAATCAAGCAATGTTCAAACGTCTAGTACAGTGTATCAAAAACAGAGATAAACAATTTTCGTTACTAAAACTGACATAAATAAAATTATGAAGCTTTAATTTACAAAACTTTACATATACAAACAAACGAGTATTCGTACCCTTTCAGTTGATTTTCCAAAGTGCTTCAGTAAATTTCATGAAAATCATCGCCCGTGGTAAAATTCGGGTGTTTTACGAGATATCGTTTCATATTACGAATGTCTTAACGAATAAAATGTCATTTGTAACACCTCAGGTGTTCATTCTATGTAACACTTCAGCACTTGAGATTTCGTGAAACTTCTGTTTTTCTTTTGTTGTTTTCATAAATATAAACAAGGAGAAGTACTTTGTGCAAATCTATAAAAATCTGTAATAACCCAGCAGTATAATAATGCACAAATAACTCAACCAAACGCATTTCGATATAACTCAAAGCTTGAATCAAGAACATCAAACCTTTAACAGAAAGACATTAAATCATGTCCTTCCTAACATTACCCCCCCCACCCACAAACAAACAAAAAAAATCCCCTAATAGCCGCGGCGCTAATTAGATCTCAAATAAGTCAAGAGATGAAGGAGCTATGAGCTAAAAGTTTGTACTTGAAAAAACAACTCAGAGCCATTTTATGAGCCGCTATACCGTGGCTAAAAAACAAACTTTATGCACATCCCAAACTGCACAAAGAGGGCTTACCCTTTCGACCGATTGTAGCTCACAACAATATTCCGACCTATCCTTTGGTAAAATATTTAGGGAACAGACTATCATCGTTAGTGGATTTAAATAAATATTCTGCAAGAAACTCCAAAGAGCTTTTTATAAAACTAACAAACGTAAAAGGAAAATAAAAAACGTCTGGCCTCCTGAAACATAAAAAGCTTATTCACCAAAGTTAGAAGAGATGAAACCATGAACACATTATCTAATGTAATTGGATGATTTTTTTTCTTTACCGTACTTATGGCAAGAGATTTACACACTTAGTTGGAGTGTATGTTACCAATTCATATTTCCGGTTCAATATGGATTATTTTTAATGAGATCACAGTTTGAGCATGGGTAATCTATTATCCACTCTTTTTTTGCGACATCTTCATGGATGACTTTTGAAAATAAGTTCTTCAACAAATTTGATGAAAAAGCTAATTTCTATGTACGACATGTTGATGACATGTTTATCTTACTTCTTAATGATAACAACTATATTAAATAGTTTCATGACAAATTAAACTCGGTTCATCCAGACAAAGAATTAATTTATGAACTCGAATGTAAAAACTAAATACCTTTTCTCAATGTTTTGGTTACATGATGCCCAGATGGCAAGTTACGCACACACGTCTATCAGAAGCCAAAAAAAAAAAAAAGAGCCTACTTCCCTACGATAAATGTTTTTGTTGTTTTGAAATTAAGCACAAAGCTACACAATGGGCTAACTGTGCTCTGGAGGGCCCCTATGATAAATCTAGACTTCCTTATTTTCAGAAGATCGGCGTATATAAAACTCATTTGGAGTTTTTTGGACATTTGTTCATGATGAACTGAGCTACCTCAAAAATGTTGGTGTTTTCCAGAGAAATATCAACTCCCCCCCAAAAGAAACAATAAAAAAAACAACGCTACTTATATGAGGTATATATATTACGTGTCAATAACCTTTTAATGATATGTATTATTTTAATTAATGCTACTTATATGAGGTATATATTACGTGTCAATAACCTTTACTTGTGATGTGTAAATGTGGAGCATAAAAATTTGTTATTTGAGGTTTGTTATCATAACTTTTTTGTCATTGATGTGAAAAGGAACAAACTGCCTATAATTGCTACATAATGATTTAAACCCTTTTTACATAGGTATGGATCGACGCTGCAACCCAAATCTTCTTTTCGTATGGTCTTGGTCTTGGATCCCTGATTGCTCTTGGAAGCTACAATAAGTACAATAACAACGTTTACAAGTAATTAATTTTAAATGATTAGAAATATAATATTTTGTTTAATTATAAATAAACAGTCTTTTTGATTAATTAGCTGTTATTTTTTGTGACCATACACACTAACAAAACGAGAGTCATGTTTGTTCTCATCATAAGTCACTGACACAAGTAACTTTTTTGTTACTTTATAATGAAGAACAGTCTACCTTCCGAAAGTTCTCTGATTACCGAGTTTATTCAGTGACTCAGCGGTAAGTCTGAAGATTTATAACGCTAAAAATCGGGTTTAAATACCCGTGGTTGGCACACCACAGATAACCCATTGCGTGGTTTTGCGTTTAACTACAAACAATGAAACAAATGTTAGTTCTTTTTTTCTTTATACTTTTTTATTGTATGTGCTTTTCAAAAGCCACGATAGTAAGTGGATGAATACAGTTAGATTAATTAGGTTTTATCTTTAGGAGGAACAGTAAAGTTCCTACTTATAAAAGAATGTTTATTGTTGCATCTGGTTTCTGAGCACTTTCATTACAAAATCATTGTGAAATACTCTTAGTTTTTTATCTCAATTCATGTTAAACAAAGAAACTTCCACAGCAAGGTCAGAAGAGGTTTTAACTATGCTTGGCGGCCATTTATAACAAGGGAAAGTTATTATCGACACAAATTGAGTATTGTTATTATTACGCAGAAGTTATAAGGATTAAAAATGCTCAAGTTTGTATACGTAAGTATCAATAGTATTACAATATAAAAATATGTATAACGTACATGAGGTAGTTTGAGTTGTTAAAAAGTGCCTTATTAGTAATTGCTAGTGGGTTAATCCTTTGGCTCAGTTCCTGGTTCAGTTCTACTGGCAGGAAAGTGGAGTATGCAATATCATGAATTATCACCGAAAAACTTGAGTCCAACTTGTGTTGTTCCACGAACCTGACATAGGGACCGAGGACAAATATTTTTTGTGAGAGGGAAATAATTTGATAATTTCAGTTTTAAAAAAGTGCCTTATTATCAATGAGGAAACGCAAAAAAAATTAGATTACCGCATGCATACCTCTGAACCATATTGTTTTTTTTTATTCTTCCTTAGTATTGTTCTTATAGATCCTGAATTGAGTTGGTGGATCAGTTTCAAACTTTTCTTGTCCTATCACAGCCTCTTGGTATTTTGAATCAAGATTATTTAATTTGGAGTGGGCAAACCTACCAAACTTATACTAGCAGCATATCCCCGGGTGGATTAGCGGTAAGTTTACATACCGGCAATGCTAAAATCAGGGTTAGATTCTTCACGGTGAACAGAGTGCAGACAAACCATTTCGTAGTTTTGTACTAAGACAACAACAACAACAACAGTAGCCGTATCTATGTAAATATAATAGTACTGTCTGTTGTACGTCTATGTAACTAATTTGCAGGGTTTGAATGGATCTTCACCAAAATTGGTATGGAGATTCATTAGGTCCATGCAGGGGTACACAAAAACTTGCGGTTTCACATTTTGTGTTTTGTAGTTTTTATGTGCGTTCTTGCGTTTTTTACAATTACATATAAGGGAAGCAACTTTTTATGTCCTAAGATAACCTTTCATTAATCATGAATTTACATAACTTCCGTCCAGGGAATGAGTACCCCAGCTAGTATATATATAATAATAATTAACCATCCCATGAACAATCTAGCCACGTGAGCAAAATAGACAATTCTTTATTTTTATAAAGAGAGTGTTGGACAAACTCTTTATCCCCCTTCCTTACGCTTTCGGTAAAGTTCACATTGAAGAGATATATTACAAGCAAAAGTATTCAATTTCTTATTTTCTATACTTATTTATTTCGTGAACACTGACAATCTCTTTTTTTTATGAGTTGAGCTTGTGGTAGCTGTTATTATATCGAAAACGTGATGTTTTAGAAGGTTGTCCCCTCTGGTGGATCAGCGGTAAGCTTAAGAGTTTTATAACGCTGTAACTCGGGGTTCCATCCCTGTGGCAAACACAGCACAGATAACCCATTGTGGTACTTTGCGCTAAAGAGAAAAACAATTCAGGAGGATAATACAAAAGTGCAATCCAGTAAATGTATGCCTAAGTGATATTTGTTTTTAGCATTGCACAGGGTGGTGTTTGGAAGGTACATTGTAAGTTGTCATTTAAGATATTTAGTGCTGTTTTAGGATTTGATTGTGAAATTATAGTATATATTCTTTATTGTTTGTGATTAGCAAAATAACTTATACGGTGTAATCAAAATAAGTTTTAGCTTGAGATTATTAAAAGCTCCCACGTTTGTAGAAATGTCCTTACCTCAGTGCTACATTTTACCACCAGGGACGCCTTGATTGTGTCTTGCATCAACACAGGAACGTCAATGTTTTCTGGATTTGTGATTTTTTCGGTTGTGGGATTCATGGCGCATGAGCAGCAGAGACCAATCGAAGAAGTTGCTGCCTCAGGTAAGAGTCTAACTAACCTTTTAGATATTTCATAGTTTTTCTAACGATACTGCTTTTTCTTTACGTGCCAAATGATTCTCCTTTTCATACGAAAATGTTACTTTAACTTTTATTTAGTCTTTTACGAAATTCGAAAATGTATTTCGCATTTTATTAAAATCAACTTTAAAATTTCAAGCTCAAGAATCATTTAGTGGTTGTTAATTACGTATCTATTTTGAGTCTAAGCCTTTTAACTGTTTTTATTTTAAAATTAATTTTGTGCACTGCAAACGAATTTACCGAAATGCAAACACAAACTGCACATTTTGAAGTTTTAAAAAATCACCTAATATTATATCAATAAATATAAGATATCATGACGATAGTTCTTATGCAAGTCTTCTGCTTACAGATATTGGTTTAAATATGTGTATTTTGGATATGAGAGCTCTATCATAAGCTAACTTAAAGAGATATTAACTGAGAGAGATTTGGGATCAGGATTCGATAGCTGAGGAAATAGAAGTGAGAAAAAGTTGGTATTTTACACGAGGAGTTTATGTTTTAGAAACGACTTTGAAAAGTGTAAAAAATAAACAAAGTAAAATCATCTGAATAAAACGTTTTTTTGAAAGTGTTTCTGCTGTAACTCATGTTGTGTTATTTCGAGTTGTTTATAAGATCCAAAGGAAGTAATGAAGTTATTCTACCTATCTTTTATGGTTATCAATAATTGTTTTCATTTATTTTAATTATTCCTTACAACTAAAAAAGATCATACATTTCTCCAGGTCCCGGGCTGGCTTTTCTGGCTTATCCATCTGCTACCATGAAACTACCGATATCACCCCTCTGGGCGGTTCTCTTTTTCTTGATGATAATGATGTTAGGTTTAGATAGTCAGGTAAGGCTGTGTATTATTGGGTGTCACGTTAAAAATGAATCAACGAAAAGAATTTAATGAAATAAATAAGCAGATTTGTCTGCTTTGTTTATTTGTAAATAAAATAGCTGTTTCAACGTAAGAAGATTGTCACGCCAGAAGAATGAGCTATCTTGTTGACAGTAAAGGTATTGTGAGTGTTTTAAATATTCGTATACTTCAACAAACTTCATTTATGGAAGTTCAGATCCTTCGTAAACAGAGAAATTTTGTAAATAACTTTTGTCTTTCTTTTTTACCTAAAACAGTACAATCTGTGATTGTTCAAAGAAATAGACAAATATTTTAATTTCCAGTTTTTGTAAGTATCGCCCCATTAAAATCCTATGGTTAGTTTTTCTCCCCCAGACTGTACTTAAGCATATGGAATACGAAAAATATTATTGATAAAGAGATAATGTGAGAAACCAAAGAAGAGTCTTTTAATGTTTGACTTACATTTATATAAAGCTTAAAAATTAAAATTAGGGAAATATTGAAAGTTAAGTATGGCTCATTGAATCTTTTGTTTCTTTTAACTGAATTGAATTTAAAGGATGAAATAACAAAAGAGTAAAAATGTCAAAGAGAAATAGTTTATTAAGTTCCCACTAGGACATTGATTACAAAAAAGCAACATTTGCTATTTCTCAAGGAATTAAATAATAAAACAAATGTTTAAAACATATTGGAAAAATTCTGAGTAAATTGTTCAACCAAAAAAAAAAAAAATCTCAGTGGAATTCGTGCAGGAAAATAATAGCATTAAGTGAAAATTCTTTACGCACTTTAACTTGTAATATTCCTGCTCTGTCTACGGAAATTTCAAATGCCTGAATATTTACGTTTAAAATCATGTGTTTAAAAGCAAATATAGTTAAATTGTCACAGTGTTCAATATTTTATTAGAAATAGGTACATAGAATGAATAATTTGAGTTTGCTAATTTGAATTCTCTTTCTATCTAGTTTATTTTTCAGAGTCATGATAAATCACTGATTTGGTTAAGTTTTGCTTTTAAAGATACCTAGGTCTAGCATTGTACTGACTCCAATAATTATATATTTTGAAAAGTGAGTTGCGATTTTGTCAAAATAAATTATATTAAGGTGAGGATTATCTCTAATGATATTTATGTCACTTTTTGTCCTAAGAAATATTATTTAACGTTGTAACTCGTATTTAAAATTGAGTCGTGTACCACTTCTAATTGCACTGATAAATTACCCTTACTGACGTCTCAGTTTAAGCGCTCGACTTAGAACAATTTGTTTTAATACGTGGCCACAGATGTCACTAGCGTTTTATATATTTTCTAGATCACGAGTTACTGGGACTCAAAGATAACTAACTGCTATAAAACGTTTTAACACTATTCAATATTAATTTTATCATTTATTAATAACATTTAAATTTTTAGTTCTGCACCATGGAAGGGTTTATTACAGCTGTTGTGGACGAATGGCCGCGTTTGCTTCGCCCTCACAAGGAGATTTTCATCGCTGTTGTTTGCCTAATATCTTACATCATCGGACTGGGATTTGTATCGCAGGTTTGATTTCATCTTGCTCTTTGCTACAATTAGTTTGAAACTCACTAAATCAATTGAAATAACATCCCCACCCACAAAAAATATCTGAACTAATATTTTCAAGGTTAGGAGTACAAGGCGAAACAAATTCTCTGAGCAAAATGCAATAATAATGTTTTTTAACCGCTTTTCATCTCTTACGGTCGTTCCTTCGTCCCATTTATTCAATTAACCTATCCTTCAATTTTCAAATATATCATGGAGATAAAATTTATTTTTAAAGTATTTTAATTTGTATAAATGTAGAAATTATACATATTATAAATATTGTACATATTTTGCTCAAAGATCGAAATAACTCACTGTGCACAAAACAAAAAAATATACCTCGTTGGAATGAAAAAATATTTGGTTGTCTCTTAACAACCACAAACCAAAGAGGCTGGAATAGTATTTTCTATGTTCCAAGCTCTTTGACCACAATGCGTTTTGTGTCTGTTTACTTACAAGCCACGAGTCGAAGCAATTCAAAATATAAATATATTTAAATGTTTGTAAAGTTCTTGGCTTTTTACAGCCCTGGAATTTTGTTTTTCCTTGACCACTCGAAAAACCTGTTTTTCTTAAGCTTTTCTAAAATTTCCTGAAAGGTCCTCTTGGTTGATGTTTTTTTTTTTTATTTATCCGGCCCGGCATGGCCAGGTGGTTAGGGCGCTCGACTCGCAGTCTGCGGGTCGCGGGTTCGAATCCCCGTCACACCAAACATGCTCGCTCTTTCAGCCGTGAGGGCGTTATAATGTGACGGTCAATCCCACTATTTGTTGGTAAAAGAGTAGCCCAAGAGTTGGCGGTGGGTGATGATGACTAGCTGCCTTCCCTCTAGTCTTACACTGCTAAATTAGGGACGGCTAGCGCAGATAGCCCTCGTATAGCTTTGTACGAAATTCAAAAACCATTTTTTTACCCTTAACAGACGTTTAGCTCACTAAATGCAAATCCATTGACGAACTCTCTATCTTTCTATATTGCATAAAGTTCAGAATTTTTAAATATATATATATTTTTTACAGATTAAGACTATTATCAAACTGTATTATTTAAGCTTGTCACGTATATTTGCTAGGGAGGTATGTATGTTTTCCAACTCTTCGAATACTACGCTGCAAGTGGTTATTCTCTTCTCTTCTTGATTTTCTTCGAAGTGGTTTCGATCTCATGGTCATATGGTGAGTTACCATCGCTTAGACTTTATTCTTCAGAGAACTGACTTTTGGAACCTCATTAATTACAGAAGTTTAATTTTACAGAGCTAATTTTTTTTCTCAAATAAACCTGTTTTTTTCCCCACAAACAGTGAAACAGGCGACATGAAATAGCACATTATTATGGTATATAATGCCTTGTGCTGACGAAGTGTGGTCTATATATCGATAGTTTGTGCAATATAGTGCATTATCACACAAATGATTGATTTAAATAGCATTTCGACCGAGGTTATGTGTATTGCATACCAATCTAATCTGAAGAGCTCTGGTGTTAACCGAAAGGTCTCGTCAGTAATGGCGCATAGTACACAGATTCTACGATCGAGATGCTAATATGCTTTTCTTAAGTTAATAGAAACATGTATAAGGCCAGTAAAGAAACAATGAAAATTATTGTGGGTGTACTATCACATAAACCACAGTATATTAAATGTCATTGTGATACTTGTAGAGAAAAATATTTAATTCAGATAATTGAAATGAATGATACGATTTCCTTAAAGTTTACTATTGTAAAGTTAATTATGAACTATTATATTTAAACTAGAAAGTAAATCTCTATAAATTATGATAAAAAAAGAAATATCAAAGTGTATAAAAAACAAAGAAGGTACAAAACCAGGAACCTCAAACTTATATATATTAGCAACAAAATCTGAACTGAATTTACGATAGCAGAAAGATGAAGCTTTAAGTTGGTTTTACAAGTTTTTGATTATTTTTTGTGTACTTTGACTACAAACATTAATTACGAACAAAAACTAATATATCCTTACTCTGACCATTCATTTATTCTAACACTTGTGTGACAGAGAAGCTTTTCTAATTCTGAAAATACAAAGATATTTAAATTACGATAAGAAACTACTTGAATAATAAAATACAAAATACGAAAATTACGGACTATATCTTTAAATCTTAAAATTGTACACCGTTTTCTCTCTGACAGGCGTCAACCGTTTCTTTGACAACTTGAAAGACATGATAGGGTATTACCCTTGTATATGGTGGAAACTGTGCTGGATGGTATTTACTCCTCTGATCTGTATGGTAAGTACTTAGCAGCAGTTTCTAACATAAACAGAAACACATACCTAAAATGTCTTTTTTATGCTTGAGTTACAAACAAAGTTTTAAAATCTTTGTTTAACGAGTGATATGAAATTTAGAAAATATTTAAATCTAAACTATTTTGTTCGTCCAAATGTGTTCAAATTAGTTCTTTTAGTCATTCCGAAAGACCCACGGGTTTCGGCCTGCTTTAATCACCTCGTGCTTTGTCTTCTGTGTGTCGGACCACTTTCATCATTGTCGTTTTGACTTCTTCATTGGAACCCTTCCGCACCACCTGTTAAAAGTTGATTTAACTTCTTAGTTCTCTGTCTTCTGTGTGTCGGATGACTTTCGTCATTGTCGTTTTGACTTCTTCATTAGAACCCTTCCACACCACCCGTTAAAAGTTGCTTTAACTTCTTAGTTCCCTGTCTTCTGTGTGTCGGATGACTTTCGTCATTGTCGTTTTGCCTTTTTTATTGGAACCCTCCCACACCACCTGTTAAAAGTTGATTTAGCTTCTTAGTTCTCTGTCTTCTGTGTGTCGGATGACTTTCATCATTGTCGTTTTGCCTTCTTTATTGAAACCTCCACATCACCTGTTTCGAGTTGGTCTAGTCTATTAATTTTCTGTCTTCTGTGTGTCGGACCACTTTCATCATTGTCGTTTTGACTTCTTTATTGAAACCTCCACACCACCTGTTTCGGGTTGCTCTAGTCTATTAGTTCTCTGTCTTCTGTGTGTCAGACCACTTTCATCATTTCCCTGTTGCCTTCTTTATTGGAACCCTTCAATGCCATCAGCTACTGGTTGTTTTAGCTTCTTCGTTCTTTGTCTTCTGTGTGTCGGACCACTTTCATCATTGTCGTTTTGACTTCTTTATTGGCACCATTCCACGTCACAGGTTTAGGATTGCTTTAGCCTCTTAGCACCCATTTTAATAATGTTACGTATTACAATTTCTAATAGCCTAAAACTGAGTTAAATTGTAATTTAGGTTTAATAGTTAAATAAATGCCGATATGTATTCAATTTATGATATTTGCCAACAAGATTGATACACACAGTTTTATTTGTTAATACAAATATATTTTAATACACAAACAATAATATAATTTACAATAACAGTTATTACAAACAGCTACTACGAACAATGATTTATATACAAAAGTCTTTTTTCTAGTCTGGAATTTCCTTGATGTCTTATAGAGGGTTCACAATGAGCGAGTTGATTTCGAGTTGACGTAGGTACAGTTCACTTCGTGGGGAGTGAGCTAGCTCTGTGGGCCTCGCTGATCATACGCCGATTACAGGTCGACTTTGAGATTTTTACCGCTGAAGTTATATAATGTCTTCGTAAAAGTATTAATGTCCGATGTGAATCCACGGAAGTTAAATGGCTTATAATGTTCGAAATTTATAAATATTTCTGGTCAATTATCTGAAGTTTTCCGATTGATAAGCATTAATCATAATTATAGCTTCCGAGGTTTATAGTATACCAACTATAGCAAACCAATAATAGATACTGTTGGTTATATTTATAGGTGCGTGGAGGGTTTCTCGAAAATTCAGATTACGTACCAATACAAAGCTTCACTGGCGTTTACGTACACACACATGTATTGTTGATTGTTACACTGGAGA